TCCCAGCAGAACTAACTCCTTTGTTTCTTTTGTTTTTGGGTGGCTATAAGGTAAACCTCAGAACATAATCAGGCTCCCCTTCGGCCTTGCAGTCCTATCTTGGGCCCCAAACCTTACCTTGATCCTGTAGTGTTCTGTTCCACAATTGTCCTGAATTTCCTCAGGTTTTGTTTTGCTGGTAGAGGAGGATACTGAGCTATAGGAGAGTCAGTTCCCTCTCCAAGGGCAAGCCTCACCCAGCGGCACCGGGGCTCTGGGTTTCCCCAGCCCGGGGTCGCTCGGCCCATAGACAAAGGAGACAGCAACTCTGCTATCTGGAGCCCCTTAATGTTCACCTGGAAATGTTGCAGTGTTCAAGAGACCAGAGAAAATGCAGGAGGTTCCAGAGGATTTGTTTGATTTTAGACGTACACCTGGCTCTGTGGACTCCTAAACCGTAATGACTGAGCGCTGAACAATGGAAAGGCTCCAGCTTTATGCAGGTTGCTGAGGGGTTGGTCTAGTAAGTAGCATGTAACATGGGGGTGGGCAGAAGAAGAACAAAGGCAGTTTGTCCAGCTGTGACAGTTTCGTAGCATATCTTGGTGACTCTGGTCAGACATAACAGGATGTCCTAGGAACAGGAGGTTGTAAGATTTTACTTACAGGAACAGAAGTCACTGGTTTTATCTATATTAGAACAAAGAACAACAGTCATAGGGAAGGGAAAGTTGGGAAACTGGGTATTTTACTTTTTTAAGTCCCGCTTTTTTGTCTCTGTAATTCCCACTTTGAAGAAGGATTTGAGAATCTTTTTAAATTTGGGAGCCCCTCTGGCTCCTTCCCTTTTAGTATTTGACCCACAATGTAGCTACTCTGATAATACTGACTTCTGATTCCTGGCTTCTTTGCCTTAGAAGACTGAGGCTTTTACTTGCTTTTTTGTCTCCTCTGCTGAGAACCAGAAAGGGAATATCCTTGGGGAAAAGCTGATTAAATCATGCTTTCCTTCAAGGTCTGCTTTTGTCTGATTTCTGCCTGCATTTACTTGTTCTCTGTATCTTTCAGCTATTTTTGTTTTTAATGAAAATGTTTTGTCTGGAGTTATTATTATTATTCAGTGGAGAATTAGTTGGATTATATGCTGTTCCACCATTCTCAGAAGCAAAATTCTGCATTTTAAAGTAAACTCCTGCCTACATTGAAGCCTGCTCTCCACCAGACCTCTATGAAGATACAAAAATAGATAGCATCAACAGAGTTGGACCTGTCCTCCTTCATTTATGCATTCTGATTTCTCTTTTCTCCTTCTGTTCTTTCTGATCTTCCCCTTTTCTCTTCCTTTTTCTTTCCCCCAGCCACCACATCCCAGGCCATCCATGGAAGTGAATCCCACACCATATGGATCACTGATAAAAAACTAACATTGTTAAAACAAGTTCCAATGTACATGAGTGGTACATGGCTGATCTGCTGCGAATGGGGGATCAGGCCCAAGGGCAACACACTTTTCCCTTTTAGATCCCCTGGCTCCCGTTTGGGATCTGGTGGGCTTCTCTTTCAGCTCACCTGCTGTGCCTGGCCTGTTCTGCCACGCCGTTGCCACACAGCTGTATCTTCAGAGCACATCTTCATAGCTTGTCCCATGCAGGCTTCCTCTCATTGCCATGGTGGAAATTCAAGGGGAGCATTCTGAGGGGGAGTAATGGCAGTGTGTCTTCACTGTAGCAATTTTTAAGTATTTAAACATTTACTATGCTTTTGTCATGCCTTGCAGTTCCATTAAACTTATAATGAAATTATAATATTCAGATTAATCAAATTGTATGACTGGCACTAAATTACATTTTTATTTTGGTACTTTTGCTAAGAATATATCTCAAATCATTATGGGGCTATCAGAAACCCATGTAGTGGGTTTCAGTTTCCTGCCGTGTTACAATGCATGGCAAGAAGAAAGAGATGCAGAATTAGGGGTACAGCATGGGTCTGGGATGGCCAGTTGTTCACGGGGAGCAAAAGGCTGCAAGGCAGCCAGAGTCTCTACATTCATTCATTGAGGAAAATGGTGAGGTGGGTGGGTTGGATGTGCCAGTCATGTGGCTAGGTGGGTGGGCTTGTCACGGGTGGACGAAAGCATTCCTGCCTAAGGGATAGAACAACCAGAGTTAGGTCGTGGTTAACCAGTAGTCTGCTTTGTAGCCCATTCTGGAGGGAGTTTTCCTTTATAGTCATTGCAGGCCTCAGCACAGACATCTCATATCTTAGCCCCCCCCAGTGTCATAGCTGGTCTATCTGAGCTCAGCTGTTAACGCTGGTGACAGACAATGCTCTGTCATCATCAACCGCCTGCTTTCAGGAAGACAGGTGTACAGCCTTGGCTGGACTTGCTCTTTAAACTGAGAGCCGGGTTAGAGAAGTCACCTCTACAGCCCGCACTCCGCCAGGAGGCACAGTCACCCTGGGATCCGGGGTGGGCAACGTGGCATCTTCCACATAGGGTAGGTACTAATTTTACTAAAAATGCTGTTTTTGTAGAAATGCTATTTTCAAAAATGGAACTACATGTTTCATAGTTACTGATAAACAGAAATAATACAATGATATAAACTAGAAATAACCCAATTAGGGGCATTTACTACATATGTATCCATTCTAAAATGTAGGCTTTTGACATACTGCATTAGTGGGTATTATAAGTTTGTGCACAAATCAGCATGAAAAAAACACTTCATTATCCAGTGTTTAAATAAAAAAGAATTAAACATGGCATAAATGTTTCCATAAAAAATTTTAAACTACTAAAATGTAGAAATAGTTTTTAAGAAACACTGTTTCTGCACATAAAAATATTTTAATAGATTTAAAGGTTGTTCTATGTTTAAAGAAAATAATTTGCTATAGATCATTGATATTACACTTTAAAATTACATGAACTAGAGCTATTGAGTCTATTTTTAAAATAATATTTTTTATTAACTTGCAACACACTTCTGTAACATTTTTTTCCTCTTTGGTTGCATTTCTATGATCTCCTCTACATAAGAATTCATAGCAGTCCTCATATGTCTTTTAATCATTCGTACTATTTTTTTCATATTTTTTTACATAAGATTATTATAAATTTTTCTCTTATTTTCATTTTCATTACTTTCTGGTTAATAAGAGTCTTCACTATTTTGAAGAGTTTTAAATTGTGTAATATAAAATATTTGACACTGAAACATCACTAATCTTTTATATTTCGGATTATGTTTGTGTGTTTTACTGAGATCATCATATTTCACTGTAGTATAACACTCAGTAGGATCAGTAATTTTTACCTGCTGGTGCTATGATTCTTACGTAGCCAGTAATGTATGTGTCTTCTCTTCAGTTTCACTACATTAGTGAGGTTAAATGGGTTATATTGGTGTATTTATGCTATGCAAATTGTTAATACTGTAAATCAAAGTTTCATTTTCTACAGAAACAGTTTTTGAGTCTTTATCAAGGCAGTATTTCTTTGGACACCAAAATTAATTACAGATTTTACAAAATTTAAATGTAAAATGTAAAATAATAAAGGGCTAGAAAAACATAAATGAGTTAACCAATATCTATATGAAGTTAGTATAGGGAAACTCAGAGAAAATAATGAATAGATTTTCAGATATTAAATCAATATATAAAATATGTGTCACATAAAAATTAAGTTCAAAACCTGATGTTTGTAGTAACATTGTTTGGCCAAATCTGCTAATTATAATTTGAGTTGCTTTCACTGTCATTGTTATTTTAATCCTAATTAATCTAATTTGCTCAGTTTATTTCTAGCTATTGAGTATGTCCTTGTTAAATATTACAGTGTCTACGCAATTGTTCAAATCTACAGTTTTTTCCCTTTTGATTTCTGTAGTTCTGTGCCTCTGCACTTAAGCAATGCTCCTGTACAGATGCACTGTGCTGTGTTCGCACTGTGCTCCCAGCAGAGGCCCCAGGGAAGTGTCTCTTCCTCCTCACAGCACTCTGCTGAACTCTTACTGTGTGGCTGGCTTGTAGCGGAATATGGATCAGTCTTGTAAGACTGTCCCAGAAGCAACACTTTTCTGTGTGAAAAATTAATTCCCAAATTTTATCATTAATGTAAGGCTTTTAATTTTAACTAGAAAATTAGGTTATTTAAAAACTTGTGAATATATTTTCTCTTCTTGTGGCTTATTATTTTACTAACAACTGATATATGTCAGTGTACACATTTATGACTTTCCAGAGTGTATGGCATCTTTTCACAACTGGATATTTTTGTGGCATACTATTTCATATGTGGTCTTGTATTTCTATTGTGTATTCACATGCTGCCATACTTGTCCGGCAATATTTAATATTTTATAATTTTATAAAACTTGTCATTTATACATAAGAAAAACCAATTATAGTCTCTTAACTTGTGATGAATTCTACATGTACATTTTTTATCAAGTTAAAATGTCAAAATAACTATTCCCATATAAATTTCGAAGGTTTGCTTTTTTCCTAAAAGGAAATCAGTTTTTAAATATGCTTTTTCTGGAAATCAGGAATTCCAAAATGTAGAGTATCTTCTATGAGTCTTTCAGTTTAAATTTACCAGGTGCCTCTTACATGGTGAATTTCTGTCTATTCTCTCTTTCATTTCAGGTTATATTAAATACTTTTGTACTACAAGATAGAATTGATAATCATTAATGTAGAGGTGGCTTTTTAATAATTAAAATATTTTCTTATTGAATTCTCTTTTCTTACTAATTTCTACTCTTAGCATATTGGTCTTGCATTTCATCAAAATTTCTTGTAATTTATAATTTGAGTTCTTTAATAATTCAGATGTGATGTAATTCTAACCCTATTTGATTCTGAATTAGTGTAGTCTTTTGCACATTAAAAATAAAAATGCTAAACTATGTGGTCTGTATTCTGAAGGTGGAGATTAGATTTCATAGCCTCATTAGATGTAAAGATTTTAAAATGTATTTTTGAATTTATTTTAACATTTTTTTCAGGTAAATCCTTATGTTCGTATAATTCAGGTAAATTTTGGCATGTGCAGTGTTTAATGCATGCATTCATATGCACAGTTTAATTGGTTTTGTTGTTTGTCCTTTATTTGGCTATTGTGCATATACTAAATTTCTAACCAGTGTGTTGGTAGCTTCCTTTTTCTGGCTGTAGAGTTTTTCCAGTATCTTCATGTTTACATATTTATTATTTTTGTATTAAAACTGTTTGTCAAAATATAGTGATTTATGATTTCAGTATGTCTAATACTGTGTCCTTTAGTATAGTGTTATTCTTCAGTAAGATGTTTTAATATATACTGTGTTAATACACTGTTTGAGAAAATTAAAATTTAAATGCATATAGTTGTGATTAGAGTTGGTTGGGGAGCTGGTGTAAAAGTCCTAAACACATTGGTGTAGTCTCCATTATGTTGACAAATTTGCCATATATTTTAAGGAAAACTGTATAGCATTAATATTATTACTTCAGTTCATCATGGTTTAAATTTCACATACGCACAGAGTATATGGCAAAGTATTATAGACTGACATTAAATTTTTAACTGGTCAGTGGATTTAAACTTTGATAATTTTAATTGAAAACTGTTCAATATATTTAGTAGAACAGACTTGCATAGTTTTTAAAAACAGTCTTCTTGGAAGGACTAGGAAGTTCACATACAAAGCCTCTGGAATGGCAAAGTACAATTTAAAATCTCCTAAGGAAGACTGTCATTCCCAGCTAAGGTGCGTTTACCTCACCGCCTCAAAGGATAACAATGAGTACATGAAACAAGTGTTTGAAAACATTGAACACCTAACGTGGAAGCACAGTGTTTAGCAGAAGAAGGGAAACAAACGGGTTGAATCCTAAAATTGCCCTAGCCTACTACTTAAGGAAGGCTTTCTAGCCAAGAAGAGAAAAAAACCTAGAAACCACAACAGCTGGAATTCACAGAACAGAGGCCTGGAGAGGAGAGAACTGCAAAAAGAGAAAGTACCAAAGATATGTAGCACATAAATATGGGGAGTCTATGGAATGCTAGCAAAACACCCCAAATTAGCTAATTAAAATAAAGTGACCAGTCGGTAGGATCAGAATACTTCTGAGTAGCACAGCTATATGCAAAAGAAAACTCAAAAATATTTATCAGAATACAGGAACAGCTAACATTCAACAATATGAAATTCACAACTTCTGTCATCTAATAAACATTGCCAGGTATTTAAAAAAATAAATAGAATACCAGGAATGCCAAAATTGATAAGTAGATCAATGTGAGAAGAAATTTGGTCACAGATAAATAAGAACTGGCACAGATGTTATAGTCAGTGTATAAAGATATTTTATATTTATCTATTTTTCATATATGTACCTTTAAATATAATTGATTATTTAAACAAAATGAATACCAGTGTAGTGTAGGATTTGCAACAAATGTAAAAGTAAAATAATACAAATAATGGGAGAGGAGAAATGGAAACACATGATTGTCATGTTTTATATTATCTAATAAGATGATGAATCTTGAAAGGAGTTGTAATAACTCAAAGATGAATACTACAAGCTCTAAAAAGTCAAAGACATCACTTGTAAGCTGATAGAAAAGATAAAATGAAGCCATTAAAATTTCCATTTCATCTCAGAGAAGACAGAAAAGGAAAAATGGACCCAAAATGTATTGAATAAACAAAAAAATAAATATCAAGTTGATAAGTGTAAACCAACTTACGATCATATTGATACAATCAGAAAACCCCAAATTTAAAAGATAGAAGTTATCAGATTGGATTAAAAATAATTGTAAACCACTTATAAGAAGCCCACTGCATTAAAAAATATAAGGCATTTAAATAAAAAAGGGGAAAGTGAAAGATGTGTCATACTAACAGTGATTTAAAAGATATCTAGAATATCTATATTGATATTACACAATTTAGAGATTAGACCAGAGATTATTATCAGGGATAAAGCAGATCATTTTATTTTAATAATAACACTAATAGTAACAATGCAGGTTAGAAAACTATCCTTAGGTACCTTAAATACAGCTTCAAATTTATCAGAAAAATTTAGAGAAGTTGTCAGACTGTAAAATTTATCAGAAAAATTTAGAGAGGTTGTCACACTATATTAGCCATTAAAATTTTGAAAAAGAAATTAAGATTGTGTAATGTGATAACATACAGTGAATGTGTAAATTTAAGAAATTATTGTAGTAACAGACGCATGACTATTAAAACCCTGTAGGACAGTCCTGCCTTCAAGCACACCCATCCCGTTGTCCTTTGCCACTTTCTGAAGCAGTTCTGGAATGGTCTTCCCTAAGTGTCTTTAGTTGCACTGTCCTAGATGCCATGATGTCCTGAATCAACTCAAAATGTTTTCTTTTCACGGTCAGTTTGACTTGGGGAAGAGCCAGGAGTTGAGCCATGCCAGACATGGTTAATGAGGTGAGTGAGAGCTTCCTGTAGTGCTTTCACCAGGCTTTCTTTTCACGGGTGGCTCGTGGCAGTAGTATTCCCAATTTTTAATCACGTCTCAATAAAGGTACTCAGGAAGGAAGACTTACAGATCTGCTTCAGAAAGTGGCAAGAAACAATGTGATATGTTACAAAAGAAGACAGGTAAAGAATGTGTCCTGAATCTTTGTGTTCATACATTTTTCTAAGAAATGGAAACTAATAAATAGGATCTAATAAAAGAGAAAAATAACTGAATAGATAAAATTCTGAATTTATGATATGACTAAGGACTTTAGGCACAAATAAATAATGTTAGTATAAAAGAGGGACAAGTTTATATAAAGTAGATAGTAAAATAAATTCAGTAAAGTGAGTGGAACTCCATCTATAAATATATTCCAGTAATTTTAAATGCATAGAAAATATATACAAGTTTGTAGAAAAATAATTTTTGTCAGAGTTGTTACAATAAGAATTAAAAATTTGAACATTATATATGATTATTTTCAGGAGAAAAGTTAAATTTAATTTTACTAAGGAAACATTTCATTTAGATAATTTTTACAAGTGATTTATATTAGATATTAAACAACAGATTTTCCCAACCTAATAAAAGTCTTGCATAACATATGTAAATTTATGAACCTATTTTACACATAAATACACAAACACATATATATGTAAATCAAATACAAATGATTTATCAAAATCTGTAAACGTTATTTAATTATAAAAAAATTTTAATTAAAAGCTTTCAATAATAATAAAGTTTGTAATGATACCTCTTTTCAAATTGTGAATCAGAAACTAACTTTCTTAATCTGGTAAATGTTAAAGGCAAAATTGGAATATTTCTTGAAAAAAAAAAGAACATTAAGCAGAAAATGACTATGTCAGAAGAGAGGGAAAGGCATGAAAAGAGGTTAAAAGGAGTTGTGTGCATGTGGAACTTCCCACGATGGATGTGATCATTATGAACTACAAACCTGCAGTAATTAAAAAGTCAGTTGCCTTTCTCTACACCAGATCCAGAAATAACCAGGAAAACATATATAACAGTAGCAGAATGCTAAATACATAGAAGTAAACCCAGCAGTGCTTGTGTGAAACTGCTGTAGGAAACGTGGCATTAAGGAGATTAAGGAATATCTAAAAGTTGGGTAACTGCCAGAACCACTGATGGGAAGACCCGACCTTGTAAATTGCCAGTTCCTCTGCTTGAGCTGCAGATTCTGTGCAGTTCCAGTCCTCTCAGCTATCTTCATGGAAACTGAGGAGGAAACTACATATATGGAAAGTAAAAGGACAAGAACAGTCAGCTGGCTTCTCAAGGGAGGAGAAGATCCATATCAGACAGCAGCCGCTGCTGTATGTGACACCTGTGAAAGTGGCGAGCAGCTTAGTCAGCCAAGTGAGTGCAAGGGTCCTGAGGCGGAGCTGTCAGGGAGGGCTCTGAGGTCTGCACGTCCCGTCCCAGAAGGAGGGAATGGGCAGTGCAGGAAGGAGCTGGGAAAAAGTGTTTTCCCTAAATAAAACAAGCTAGATGAAACTGGATCTTTATCTCACAAAAGTATGAGAAAATAAACTAGATGGTGCAGAATTGACGTATTATATAATTTAAGGTTCTTTCAGGAAGCTGAAGAGCTTAGTGCTGAAGCAGTGTGGGACATGGAATGAGGAGCTTATTATAAAGTTGTGCAGGCTGAGAATTCTACACCAGAAGGTTGGTAGGACACGGATGGGAGACTGAGCAGTCAGTCCCTGGTCAGAGGCTCAAAGGTAGTGAATGTTCAGTCTGTGGCAGGCAGTTGCGTCTTCCCCAGGTAGATGATGTCTGTCTGGGGCAGGACAGGTTTGGAGGGAAGATGCAGCAGACTGGAAAACAAGGAAAAGTGGAACCCACTGGACAAGCGCAGCCTGTCTCTCATGCCCTCTCACCCTGATTTCATGGGTGACCTCCCCAGGAAGTGGTGTCTTTGTCATGGTTCTGCAGAGGTTCTTGGCCAAGGCCTGCGACATGCCCTGGGAAGACCCAGAGAAGTTTCTAGATTCTAGGCTTTGCTTTTATCTTATCTATTTTAAAAACCAGAAAGACTGGGAAAAAACAAATTGAAAAACCACAGTCACACTGGTGATCTCAGAGAAACACGAGTTACACACCTCGCCTACTTGAATTGATAGGAACGCATTAATACATAGGGATGTGTATTCTTTTTATCCATAAATGAAATGCTTGTAAAAGTTTGTTGTTAATATGGTAATGCATTCTATGATGTCATTTTACAAATGCATTTACTGAAGTCTCCCATTTCTTTTTTTAAACATGTGGTTCAACTGTGAATGAGGATCTGTGTATTTCAGATACTCTGGGCACACAGACAATTTCATATAGATCACTTTTTATCTATTAGTGTTAAGTAGCATTTCTGCTGTTTTCTAAACCATGTAAACATTTTACAATGATTTCCATCGCCACTCCTCCCATCTAACACATTTGCTCAGAAACTTACCTCTGCCTTCAATTGTTATTGTAATTATTTTATAATCATTACTTTTTTCATTCAGATTTAGTTGACAGTTTCATTCTTTCCATCCTTTTTTCTAGGTTAAGCTGAATTCTTTCTTTTCTGTTTTCTTTTCTTTTCACTCCTTTCTGCCCCACTCTCTCCTTTTCTTTTTTGCTGATAATTGAACTTGGCCTCATGCTACGTACATTTTCTAGCATTAACCTGTGCACTGTGCCCAAAATTTCTTTATTTTTGTTAAGTACATTCCTTTAAAAAGTCTCTGTGAAGAATTCAAAACAGTCTTTGGTTTTCTGAACATGTCTTCATCTCATCTTCTTTCCTGATGTGAATTCAGCTGTATCTACTACCCTAAAATTGCTTTGTTTTTCTGGTGTGCTGGCAGTCATTCCAATGTACAACGCTTCCAATTTTGTAGAACTCTCTATTTGTTTAAATCTTTAATTTGTTAGCAGCTATTTATGTTGAATTGTTCTTCAAGGAAATAATTAAAATTCTAATTTCTAGTATCTCAACCTGTGACTCCATTTGGAAGTTGAAGCCAGATTAAAATAAGGTTCTTAGGCAGGCCCTGATCCAGTGTGGCTGGTGTTCTTATAGGAGGAGGACGTGTGGGGCAGAAATAGACTTGCACAGCGAGAGCATGAGCACAAACACGAGCAGGACAACCACCAGCTGGAGGAAAGCGTCCACAGATGCAGCAACACCAGGCACCTTCAGAGGTGCCACCAGAAAGAGCATGGCCCTGTGGACCGCTTGGTTTTGGACTTCTGTTTTTCAGAACTATAAGACAATGAATTTATTTGGTTCAGGATACCCAGTTTTTGATACTTCGTTATAATGTCTTGAGGAGCTAATATAGCAGTGTTTTTGTTGCCTGGCATGAACATGTTTTTTACTGTTTTTGATTAGATATGTTCATGAATATTTTGTCACTTGGATATTCTTGTAAATGATACTAGTTTTGAGATTAATTTGCCAATTGTTCACTGATATTCTCTAAAGGTATAGCTCACTTTTATATTCACTTTTATATTACAGCAGCCCTGCTAAGTAAATTCATGGGTTTTTGTAGCTTCTTTAGGATTTTAAATTTACATGATGATATTACTTCTTGGTGTGAAATGTGTACCCCACTCATTTCTTTTCCTTTCCTCGTTCATGTTCTGTCTCAGACATTCATTACAGTGTTGAACAATAGGCTCCTCCCTGTAGGAAGCCTCCCTGCTCATTTACTTGTGTCAGGAGGAAACATTCCATATTTCATAACTAATGTCATGGTGTTCTTAAACTGTAATGACTAGTGATCTTAGATTGTTTCTTAGAAAACAACACAATTCAAAATTCAGTGTGTTAATTTTACGCATGATTTATTTCTTTTGTAAGCAGCTGAGAAGTAGCTAAAATAAATAAAGAGTAAAAACGCTTATATGAGTTTGTTTTTCTCAGTTCTGCTTATACTCCATGAGCAAAAGTAATTGGATATATTGAATTTCTTTATCATACATATTAGGAAAACACACATTCGTGTTTTTTGAAAATAATTGTTTGTGTTTTGAAATTTGTGCAGTTTTATGTGCTTTTGTCCAAAAGTTTTTAATACTAACTTCCAGTAGATCTTATCAATGAGTATCACATTGTTTACATAGTTACTTCTGATTTTTCTGTTTTTAGGCCACTTAGACTTTGTCTTACACATATGCAGGATAACTCTTGTGTTTAGTGTTAACTTCTCACGACCTTACGTCGTGTGACACATGTGAAAACAAGTGTTGGTGAGCTTGTAATGACTTTGTTTCTCTATGTTTTTATTCTTGTGTAATTTAAGATGCTTTCATTTATTTTTCAGGTGGTTGAGGGTTATTTTTCCTTCTTAACCACCTAGTAGTTACAATTATTCATATTATTTCCTTTCAGGGTCAAAAAGAATAAGTGATAGTGAAATCTCCGACTATGACTGTGATGATGGAATTGGTGTAGTATCAGGTAAGAATTTTAGAAGTATTTTATGGTATTAAAAAGAGTATGTAAACATTAAAAAGGAGAGTATAGATCATTTGTAAATAGAAAAGAGACCACGAGATGGAGGGAGAAGGTGGGAAAAGGAGGAAAAGGGAGCGTAAAAGGAATTCTAGTGTGTTTTGTACATATATTGGCTTCCACAGTGAATGTAATCATTATGCACTGAAAATATGTACTAATAAAAATTTTAAAAGAGTAAAATTTACCATTATTTACCATAGATAGAAAAAAAGAGAGAAAGAGAAAGCGGGAAAAATAACTTGTAAATTCCCCTGAAACAAAATTTGGCAACCTGTGGCAGTTTAAGAACCAGAGAATTTAGATTGGATATTCTTGAAAACTGCCTAATAATTGAATTATTAATAGGTTTTCTATTTTAAAACAACTAAATATGACTTTACAATAAGTTGAAGGATTTATTAAACAATTTAAAAATCTTTATGATGAGCAGTCATTATAAAAAAGGTGCTAAGTCCTTTGCAAATATTTTTGGTTAGTGTACGACTTCACTTCTCTTTATCTTGAAATCGTCTTTTGAAGAATAGAAATTTTTCATTTTAATGAAAACCACCTGATGAATCTTTTTCATCAATTGTTCCTTCAGTGTTGTACCTAAAAAGTTGTCACTGCACCAAAGGCCATCTAGCTTTTCCTCTGTGTGATCTTCTAGATTTGTAGTTTTGTATTTTAAATTTGTATCTATGATGCATTTTGAATTAATTTTTGTGAAGACTGAGCAATACGGATTTACATTCTTTTTTGTTTGTTTTTTGGGTTTTTTAACATGTGAAAGTCCAGTTGTTTCAGCATCCTTCGTTGCATGTTGTTGCCTTTGCTTCTGTGTCAGAGGTCACTTGGCTGTCTTTGTGGGTGTTACTTTTGAGCTGTTTATTCTGTTCCATTGAGTTACCTATTTTTTTTACCTCTAATGTCATGATATTCTCATCATTGTAGAGTTATAGTGAGTCTGGAAGATCTGATAGACTTTCTCCAAATTTCTGAGGAAAGGAGAGAAGGAGGCGGAGAGAGAGGGAAAGAGAACAAGCCGCTGTTTTGTCCCTTCGATTGTATCTGGACACCCACCCCAGGGCGGGTGTAGCACTCATAGCCTTGATCCAGTGGTGGACCTGGATTCCGCCGTCTCTAAAAAACCTATTCCTTTGTGACTGTGTGAGGTTTGGGGGAACATTTAGACACAAACTGTAGCAATGGTCATGTTTATAATGTCACTTCCTGCTGGGAAATGTTCAGTTTCTCTGCACCAAACACTTCATGTGTAGTATACTCAACTTGGGCCAAACTTACTTTTTCTATTTATATTCCCACACTGCTCCAGTTGAACTGCTGTTTTCTACCAGCCTTGATTTCTGTTTTCTTCTCAGTCTTTTCATTGAGAAGAATCATTTGAGTTGTGTTTTTTATAAATGTATAAAAAGTGTATCAGAGCATCAGCTATTTCCCTTCTCTGCTTTGTCGTATTCTTATTCTTAGTCTTCTGTAACTCAGCTTTGCTAAATACTATAAGAAAACTACTTTAAATTGTACTTCAAATGGCAGATTATTTCCTGATATGATTTGTCTCTTAAGGAAATACCCACAGCTTTCTGGGATTTTTTTGTGAAATAAATAATTTTAAAAATTAGTAATTGTTAAGAAGTATTTAAAACATCTAGGTCATTGTGGACATAAAAATGTTTTTAGCATAAACTTGAATTTATATTGAAGATAATTGTATATACTTTTTCATGTTATATAAGGAACTTACTGTATATGTAAGCATGCATGAAAGTTATACTGTATTTAATAGTGTCATCAACATAATAACTCCAAAATTTGAATATGTGTCATTCCTTTTCATGTATGTGTCTATAAAATATTTTTCTTAACATGCTTTATTCATTGTAATCTATATTTGACACACCGAGTCCTTTAGCTTCACCAATATTTAATATTTTTGTGAAGTACAAAATACACAAAGGACTTAGTATATAGATAATCATAGTTAATTAATTTTTCCACCTTTAGATTATCGACACAATGGTCGAGATCTACAGAGTTCAACGTTATCAGTGCCGGAACAAGTAATGTCGTCCAATCATTGTTCACCATCAGGGTCTCCTCATCGAGTGGATGCTATAGGCAGGACGAGATCGTGGTCACCCAGTGTGCCCCCTCCGCAGAGGTAAAGTGGCGCATACCATTTACTTGTAGCCTGCACCACAGGTATATTTGTCATAAAATGTAGACTTCTGAAAAGAAGTTGACAAAAACCAAATGGTATTCAGTAACTTATATAATGAGAAATAAAAGGAAATGTGGGTTAGTTTGAAATTTTGATTGTATATAATACTTTACTGTAAGAATTTAAAGTTATTAAGAAGCATTTTAATCACGTCAGATTAAGCAGATGTAGTTAGATCCAACTTTGTATACTAAATGATATAGATATTGGTAATCTGAGAAATAGGAAAGACAAACATCTGATTGTCCTTTAGAAATACGAACAATCATCAGAAGACTGAAAAAGAATGCATATGTAGTGCAAAGAGTAGCTTAGGAAATCAGGTCTTAAGCTAGCAGAAGTTTCCAGTCGGTCTAGTTAACCACAGAAGAGACTCTAAGAACCATGGGAATGATAGTAAAGGTTAGCAAGTAGGGAATGATAGTACAGGCTAGCAAGAAATATGAGCAGTTTACATTTTATTTTAATGTTTAAGAAAACTTGATTCATTGGATTAACAGTCAAACTCATTTTAATAATTGAATTAGTTTTAGACTTAATTTTAAATGAATCTTAGTTTTGCACATATTTGGAAAATGTTAGATTTATTATCTTTATAAATTTTACTTATTTAATTTACAAGAAAATTAACCTTCAAAATGGGTCTACTTAATTTAGATAACTACAAAACTTAAAAAGAAAGTCTAATATATTGTTTATAGATATAATTCATAATGTTTCAAGGTGTTGAATTAAATAAGTTTGTAAATGGGGCTACAGTTATTAAAATTTTTCTGAAAAGTAATTGCTTAAAGGTTGTAGGCTCAATGATAGAATAGTGTCTGGACTCAGTGGTGTATGCGCCTGCCTCCAAGCATGACGTCATGAATTGGATCCCCAGTACCAAAACAAAACAAAATAAAGAATAGTATCTGTAGTCTGATATTTAAAGTTTGAGAGAGAATTAGTTTTGAATTTAGAATTTAAAAATTAATTCCACCTCCTTAAAAAAAGAATAAAGAATTTACGTGAAACATTCTCCTTTCTGCAGTCAGTGCAGGGCACTGACCAGATGTGTATTTTCCTCCATAGTAGGCCATTTGCAGAAATCAGACACCGAGTGTCCTGTAATTCAGTTCGGCTACACTGTCTCCTGGAGACAGTGTCAGAGCCCGGTGCCAAGTGCCAGGAGGTATCTGGAGTACACTGACTGAGCAGCTGTAAATTGCAGTTCTTACAGCCCCTTCCTTTGGTTTGATTATTTGCTTGCATGGCTCACACAACTTAGCATAGCGGTGTACTTCTACTCAGTGGCCTCTTATGGGTATTATAACAAATGCAGATGAATAGCCAGGTGTAAAGAGCGGAGCAACATGCAGGGACGAGAAGAGGGCTTCCATGCCCCCATGAGCACGCTGTGCTCCCAGCATTTCTGTGTGTTCTGCAGCACGGGAAGTTAGCTAGCCTTGTTCAGGAAGTCAGTGTGCAGACTAAGAGCTCCAACACTCTCTTCCTGGAGTGACTTGTTTTTCCTGGCATCTGGCTTCATCCTAAGGCTATCTGAAGTCCCACTTATTGAAATTTACCGTAAGCTAAAAAGTTAGCCAAGCGTTTCAACAGGAAAAACAAAAGATGAAACCAGAAAATTTCAAGGATTTTTAGGAACTCTGTATCAGGAACCAGGGACAAACTACTAAGTATTTATATTATATCATAGGTTTACTTTTACCAAAGGAAGAAAGTTTGAACCATCTAATAGAACATAGTCATAGATTCTAGACTAGATTTACCTGCATATAAGATAAACCCCATCATAGCAAGAAGTTAGACAGTAAAAATGTATGAAAAATAAATGTGAGTGTTCAATCCAGTGAGAATGGTAGCTAAAATAATTATCACTGATCAGTTACAAAGATTTCAGTTTGGACTTAAAAATAAAATAACATTCAACACCCCTAAAATATGATCCACCAGTATATTATAGACAGGCATTATATTTAAAATAAAAGCATAATATGAAGACAAAGGCATGAAAAGCATAATCAGTATATAGAAACGAAAAGAAATTGGAATCTCAAGATAATGTAAAAAGTTTAAGTAAGAATCAAAAATGCTATGAAAAACCCCATATATTCTAGGAAAAGAAATGTCAGACTACTAAACTAAAACAGTCTAACAGTTACTATGTGCTTGGGTGGCAGAGCTCGCACTTTACATAAAGGCTGGACTAGAAGGGCCAAGCTTAGCCTGCACTTCGTTCAGCTGTGCTCTCAGAAGCTCAGCTCTCTACAGAGGCAGTACTTTCTCAAAGTTGTCTTAGGTATGCTAAAGACTAATGAAAAGACTGGGCGTAGGGACCATGGACAGATACGTTTTTTACAGATAAAAATCTTCAAAATATAGAAAAAAAATCCAAAAGGTTAGGAAGACAAATAAATATACAACTGTCCCTGGAGATCTTAGCTTATCTTAACAGAAGTCATTAGCTAATCCAGACCTTCCACTGTAGCTGTGGCTTAGATTTAAATAATAATATGTGTTTGCTCAAATTTATTGTGTGAAGTAAATCTATATTCTAAGTCTTCTGTGTAAAGTTCCATACAATCCAAGCAAGGATTACAAAGTTTCTTTTAAGAAAAGAAATTCTGAAAGTTAGTGAAAAAAGGAAACCTCAATAAATTCTATATAAACCATTTTTCATTTTCTTTGAATATTGTGCAACACATTTATAAACCTGTAAGAAGATAGTTTTTAAATTCCTGGAACTTCCTAAAACACTGCTAAATAACTTGGTTGTGGATTAAATAATAAAGAGGAAGTTATGAAGTATTAGACATTTGTAGGATGCAAATAATATTTAGAAAATTCTCACTTTAAGAAAAAGAAATTTGGCTGGGCATGGCGATGCACACCTGTAACCCCAGCACTTAGGAGGCTGAGGTAGGAGGATCAACGGGAGTTCAAGGCCAGACTGGTCTGGCTATGAATTGAGTTCAAGGTCAGCTTGAACTGTGTAGTCAAACCCTGTCTCACAAAGACAAAAAGAAAAAAGAAAGAAAGAAAGTCAAAGAAAAGGAAATTTATTAGAAAATAAGGAAGATTAGACAGTGAAATGAGATTTTTTATATCTTATGTGGAGAAAAGTGAACCTTTATTCTCTATTGGGGCAGTGCATATTAGAAGACTCATTTATGAAGGTCAAAATTTCTCAAAATATTAAAAATAGAACTATCATATAATCCTGCAGTTGTATTTTGGGCATATACTTAAAGGCCTATGAAGTTAGTATATTAATGCTACCTACAGTGATCAGAGTAGCATTCATAAAAGTAGCTAAAATGGGAAAGGTCTTGAATGTCCATCAATGGATGAGCGGTGTACATGTGGATAATGTGGTATACATAGTTAGTAGAGCAGTGTTCACCCCTAGAAAAAGGGAATCTTTGCTCCTTGCTGTATATGACAGTGTGGACAAACATGAAAATGTTAAGGGAGATAAACCAGACAAACAGTCTGTGATCTCACATACATTTGAAATCTAAAAAGAGCTGAAGTCATAGAAATGAGTAAAACTGTGGGACGTGGGAGGTCTAGAGAGATGTTGGCCAAAGAACACAAAATTTTAACTCTACCAGGGTGTAAACAGTTTAGACAGCTCTTGTATATTGTGTTGACTATAATTAACAATGTTTTATACACTGGAAAATTCCTAAGAGAGTAGATTTTACGTGTTTTCACCATAAATCTGGGATGTGTGGAGGCCATGTGTGTGTTAGGTAGCTTCATTTAGCCATTACAGAGCATGTATACTTACTGTTCCCCATAGTTGTATAATTTTTACACATCAGTTAAAATCAAGTAAATCAAACCAAAAAAGCAAATAAGTACAGGATGTCGGAAAGTGAATGTGGAACAATAGAGGGAATCAGTGAAATAGGAGGAGGGATGCGGACTTGGGCAAAGTCCATAAAGCAGAGATAGAATGAAGCAGACAGCGAGAGAAGAGCAGTAAAAGACAGAGAGAACGCACATTAGACACAAAGCTCGTCACATGAGAAGGAGGATGACATGATGAATGAACGCTAGCTAGACTATAAAAGGGAGACAAGTGCAGAAAAGAATGGGCTTCAAAATTAAACAGTGCTGTTATATTTGGTAAGCTAGAAAAAACATGTAAGTTTCTGAAAGAAAATAAGATTAGAACAAGAGGAAATAAAACAATTTAAAAAGTTAATAATTCATCAGTATATTGAAACGGTACTCAAAGACAAACCACTGTCCTTCCTCTCCCACTTAAGAAGTCCGACTAAGACGTTATTATAGACAGTTTTCACCAAGTTTCTGAGAGCTTACTTCTCTTTTATCGGCAACTGACTCTAGAAACAAAAAAGAAAGAAAACTGTGTAGCTGTTTTCCTGGAGCCAGTGTAAACCTACTTCTGATCCTCACAGTGCCAGATAATTTTACAAGCACAGTTCAATTGCAAACAGATGTAAAAACATTGTATTGATTCACTAATCTAACCAAAAGTTAAAAGTATGATAGTGTTCACAAAATTTTTTATGGCAGTTCATCACATGAATGAATTAATGGAGAAATAAATCTCATTACAGGTAAAAAATTATTTTTAATTCTTCGTATTAGTAAGCTAGGAGTAGAAGAGAACCATCTACAGTTCATAAAAGTTTTTCAAATTAAGTATTATATTTAAAGAAAAAATGGCCTAGGCATTTGCACTGATTAAGTGATGTCAAAAATAGTGCATCTACTGAGAAATATAAAACAAAGGAGAAGTAAGTCGTGGAAGAATTGGGAAAGGAGATGAAACCCGTCATTATTTGTTAAAAAAGGTTTATCTACATTGAAAAGAGCATAATCAGAATATTTAAACTAAAGTGGGAGTTTTATCAAATAGACATAAAACAATTTACAAAAATGAATAATAACAAATTAGGAAATGTAATGAAATTCTCAAAAACACAGTTCTCAAAGCAACACAAAGTGTATAGTAATTCTAACAATTCACAAGACCTTAGAAAAATGTAGAACTTGAGATAAAGTAGTATATTTATTCACGAGTAAAATGACTTCAGTTCTGAATAAATTAATCTGTAATGCCATACCAATCAGAATTACATGTGCAATTTTTGAAATTTGACATCATTTTAAAATTTATATGAAAGGGCAAAGATGCACAAATCAAATTGAAAAGAAGAAACAAAGTACTATCAGTCCATGCATGGTATGGACATACTGACTAGAACAGATAGTACCATATACATATGTGTATACACGATTTATAGATATTTATGTTCACTTGATACATGTTAGTACAGGTACTATTACTAATATATATGGAAAGTGGATTGGGGCTGGTAGGAAAACCAGCTCATCATGGAGCAAGCTAAACGCCAAATGCTCAGCTTCCTCCCTATAACTGGAGACGCCATGGCCCTAGTCATGTTTCAGAGGGTTGGCACGTGCCAGGTTGGATGGCTAGGGAGGAGGGAGGAGTCTGAGGTGGCGGCTGCTCTGGCCACCAAGGGAGGTGGCAGTTTGGCCTGGGCTGTTCCCGAGGGACGTGGTTAGAAGTGAGTAGTCTGAGCGCCTCTGAAATCTTGTCCAGCCATGTATGCTGCATCTCTGCCCCCATTTTTGTAGACCCTGTAAACAAATATATGACACTAAATTAATTTTCTCCACACGTGTCTGCTCTTCCTCTTGTATATCATTGAATTTCATTTCTAGAGACCTGGAAGCCATCCCCTGGAAGGCTCTGAAATTCCTTATCTCATCTCCAGTGATACTAGCCTGGGCTCTTTTCAAGTTCTGTTTCTTTTATAACAGCAGTCTCCTTACTTAACTGTCAGTTTTCAACTTATATCCATACTGTTAGCCCAGGTGTAAATAAAGAAAAATCTGCACTTGGTATTATGATGTCTTTGTCCCTTTCTATGTTTATTAACAAACTTCAGTTCTTAGTGTATTACATGCTTATGGCTCACTGGGATATTTTTAATGTGTCTTGCTGGTTTAGTCGGAACGTAGAGCAAGGACTTCGAGGGACACGCACCACTGCTGGACATTATAATACGGTTGGCCGAATGGAGAGACATCGTGTCATGGACGATCATTATTCTCCCGAGAGAGACAGGTAAAGATGATTGGATGCTGTTAGGCTTTACCAAATTACATAGTAGGGGTTGTCATAAAATGCTCTTTTCTGCTTCTTTATTTTAGTTTCTTGAATTGTGTTTTCTTTTCCATGGCCACACTCTTTGCTATGACTGCTACATTGCTAAACAAACATACGGGGACGACAAGAAACAAAACCATTTTGCATTTGCAGTTTGATCTTTTGCTAAATAAAACTAAATTTTGCACAAGAGATCATAATGAGACACATACTAGCAAGATGTTTTATCATGGTACCTTGACACAACCAATTATTTTATGTAAAAGTACTTTCATTATACAATAGATTTTAAAATCTTACATGTACATCAATCAGAGAAATTTTTCATATATAAACATATTTAGACAGAGTTTGGTTTCTTTAGGAAGCATTTTATTATGATTCATGAAGACGTTTTTCCTCATGGCTTTCAATAAACCCTTTAAACATTTTAAAGAATAATGCTTGTTGATTGCTGTGTTTGAAAGAATTATCTGAATTTCCTCTATTAAGTGTGGCAAACTTGGAGGAACATGGTATGTTACAATGCTTACATTAATTATTACTAATTTTACTAATTAATAAAATTAACTATCCAACTTATGCTTTGATTATATATGAAAAATGCTGCGATATTTTCCCCAAACTATCAAATAAGTTTGAGATTAGATGAGGCAAAAGAGCTGAACTTATTATTTAGAAAATATGATAAAATAAGGGAACTCAGATGTTCTTTTGTATGTATCTTGTACTAATTTATGAAGAAGTTTAGGACTTTAAAATCTACTGATAAAAGAAATTACTATGTGTATATATAAATGCATTTGTTTTCTCTGAATCTAAATTAATACTCAGTTCTTGCTTATAATTTCATGTGCTTTACTACACATTTCCAAAAGAAGAGGGTATTTTACATCTCAATAGTATCACACAAATACTGACTTCTACATCTGAGATTTAAGAAGAAATTCCAAAATTATTAAATTCATATCAGTATTATGTAAGTTGATGTACAATTTTATTTATTGATTTTTAAAAAGTTTTTCTTGACCTGTTCATGGTGGTCTATTCCGTTAGATCCGATTACAATGCATAGATATGCTACCTGTAGACAGTGATGCTATACATGCAGTAAAACTGAAAGACAGATTAATGTGTTGACATGCTTAACAACTGGAAGGAGTCATATTAGGGGAGGTTAATAGGAGCTTTGATTGCCTAAGGAAATTTGGTATGACTAGTAATTTCTGGAAATTATACAGTAAGTCATAAGTTTGTTCACTGAAGATTTGTTAATGGGAAAGATACCAGAAAAGTCTGAAATGATATGCTACTTTCAAATATATGGAAAATAGACCCCATTTTCAATGAAGACAAGTAAATGTGACCAAAATATTAGAAAGAAATGGAAGACAAGTGAATGTAACCAAGTAAAACTGGATGTCATTGTATTAATGCTAGGTTTATCAGGATTTTAAAACAAGTGTTCCCGGGCTTAGTGACAATAAACAGACAGGTATTTGCTGTCAAAGCTCAGTCAGTGAGGCAAGCCTGTTAGAGCTTCTGTGATACAAACGGCTGGCTGTGGCACCCCTGCCCTAGGTGACTACTCCTTGATATTTCATAGTCATTTCAGAGATCACCTGTGGTATGCATTTGTATACCTATTCCAATTTATATCTGTAATTGAAATACCACTGTGTTTTACTTTATAGCTTTACACATCTTTTAGTTTTGAAAAAAAATTTTAAATGATTTTCTGTAGGAGTTTTGGAGAAAATATGTCCGTGTTGTTTCATTATTCTTTTCAGTGTGTTGTAGATTGCTAGATCAGAATTATTTTTAAATGGGATCTACCTTAGATCCATTTTTGAAACAAGCAAAATGAAATTTCATTTACGTTGATGTCAAACAAGCATTTTTCTAATACTATTTTTGGGAGTTATCTGTGTATAAGTCATTAACATAAGGAATAAAAAATACAGTATTGTTTTCAATAATGTATACAGTTTGTTACGTTAAATACACTTTTGTTTCTGCTTTAGTGTAATATTATAGTGGATTTTCAATAATAAAATACATTTGAAGGCATTATAGTTTTAATGTGGTATTTAGAGGATAAGAGTACTTAGATTTATTACCTGAATTTTCTTGAGTAGCAGTTTATAGAGTCAGTCAACAATATAGTTGCTTAAAAAGGGTAAGGGAGAATTTGTTCGACATAGTACATTTTAGGTATTGTAGGAGAGGCATTAATTTTCTTGTCAGTAAGAATCGATGTGTTGGACTAGAATAGTATTTTATTAATGTACTCTTTTTCATAGGATTTGGAACAAATACCTTTGGATTCAATTGTAGAATTTTACATCTTGCTAAAGATGTGTCTTAGGGAAAATTAATGTCCTGGATGATTGCTTTGCTTATTTACAAAATTCAAACATGAATAGCAACCTTACAGAGTTGTCTAAATTAGATGGTATCTAGAATTTAATTTTTATATTTCCTGTTAGTATCACAGTATGCAATACATACCGATAACTATTTCATCAAATTTCATGGTATGTACTAAAAAATTGTGGCTATCCCTTAGCATTTGAAAAGGATCTCTTGGCTCTTAAATAATTTACATTTAATTGCTTATAACTAAGCAAAAGCAACATAGAAATCAGTCAATTCCAGTATTTGTTTTCAAAGTTTTGTTGAGAATGTAGGATAAAGGCAGACTTTGAGAAGCAGGTGTATTTATTCAGGTTAGAACAAGAGCAAAAGACAGAGGCAGGACCACGCATCCCTGGGAGGCCAGGGCGAAGGGCTTGCAGCATACCCTGGGAAAGTTTCACACTATCTGCGGTGGGGGAGTCACTGCTGTTGACGTGAACTGTGGTACGTGGTTAAATGTAAGTGGTGTAAAGAGGAAAGAGAGGGCGCAGGTTACTTTTTATAGGTAATGTAAGACAATTATATTAAATACTTGATTGGAACTTATTCTTTGCTTATCTTTGTCATTGCTACTGATAATCATATTCTGTTTTTAAAAGTAAATGGATTCTTTACGAGGCAATCCCACAATGCATGCATATGAGTTAAAATGATAATTTATAAAGAACATCTTTCATCTTCCACAAGCCCTCCCCTCTAGTCCTATCAGTTTTTCTCTACTATCTACTATGACTAGGAGTATCGTTTTCCTGGGGGCAGGTTGTATGACTTTAGTATTAGAAATAATTTTAAAACTTTTTTTTGTCTTGTGTGAGCTAATTTGCTTTTAGAATATATGTATGGTTTTAGATACTATTTCTGTCACATATTAAAGTTCTGAAGACTGAAGTATGCATTTTTATGTTTATTGCTGAGGCCAAAATGTATTAGCTACTTTTATATCCTTGAATTATACTTTTAACATTATATGAAAAAAGCACCATATATATATATACACACACATGTATACACACATATACACACGCGTATATACACACATGCATACACATATACACACATACATACACACATATATATACACACATACACACACACACACACACACACACACACACACACACACACACGGTAGTGCTGGGGATTGAGTCACCAAGCTACTTCTCTAGCCCTTTTTTTTATTTGTCGTTTTGAAATAGCATCATTCATTTGCCCAAGTTGAGTTTTAACTTGCATCTCTTTCCTAGAGTGCTGAGATTATAGTTGTGTGTTACCACACCTGGCTAGAAGATTTATATTCTAAAAGGAAAACACCTTATTACATTCTAAAAAGTGAAATGGCTTCTTATCTAGTATAATTTTTATATTCTATATCAGACAGCCAATTATGAAAAGTGTAGCATACACTCAAGATTATTGCATCAAAAAGAAGAATCTTCATGGTTTTTCAGTTATTCATCATGAGGGAAGGACATGTCTGAAAGTTTAAAATTATGAAGAAAGTAAGTGAAAAAACAGAATTCACTTTGTATATCTTCATAGATTCTATGTTACATTTCAGGAGTATATTTTAAGACCGTTAAATAATACTGGCATATTGTAGGAGCTGAAAAGTAGGCAAAATGTTGATAATGATAGAGACAGAGCAGAAGGTTTTGCCTCCCGTTGGGCTGAGGCAGACAGCTTTCGGTATCTGCAGGTTTACTGAGAGGTAGGCTATTTATCTCTTCCTTTTGTGGTACTTTTGGTGTATCTGGTAAAAGGGGACATTCAGACCAATTTCTTTATTTCTTTTTCTTTTTTGGTACCGGGAATCAAACTCAGGACCTTGTACTTGCTAAGCAGGTACTGGGCTGCTGAACTGTATCCCTGGCCCAGACTAATTTAACACAGCAAAAAGATGATTCATTATAACAATGAACAACAAATAATTTTGTGTTGTCTCTAGATGTTATGTTAAGAATCAAAATGTGTCTAAAAATTGCATTAGTAATCGTTTACTTCTTTGAATAGTATTTGCATTATGATTCTTAGAATCTGCAACTTCATTTTTTGATTTTTAAAATTTATTGAACTTAATTATCTGTTTTTAAAAAATGAATTATTGTCTTATTCAAGCTTTTAAAAATTTCTCAGATGGCCCTAAGTTCAAATTTTAGTAAAAATTACTTTAGATTAACTTATTAAGCATATTTGATTCATTATATATATTTATTGCTTAGGTTTTATGAAGTATTTGGTTAAATTCAATTTTGGAAGTAAAGGAAACCTGGTTCAATAGAGATATGGAAAATGTGTTTTAATTACACCACTTAGATGCTGCAGAGGGACAGGTATATCAATTTTTTGTATAATGCTTATGTTGATAGTTCTCAGTAAACTCTCAGTGGAGGATATGAGTAGGTAAGGTTAAGAATTCACATGACTAGACATAGAAAAGACAAATAAATTCATGTTTGATGAAGGTGATTCTAATTAATGTTTCTCTGGCTTTATAAGGACAAAATTAATAATTAAAACACTTGAAGAAAATATTAGAAACTGGTGAAGATGTAGTACATACTCTTTGACTTTATAACTTTTAGTAAGCTTTTTCTCGTACTCTGAAGATTTTTGTAAACAATCTGTTCCTTCTTAAAGCAGTAAATCCCAGTATTCTGACTGCTTGCTATTATTTCAATTCTTTTGCTTTTTTGATGCTTATGTTTGCACTCTACATAAACCTAAAGTCCTTGTTTACATTTCTAGAATGCTTTTATAATTACGTGACCAGTGCTTGCTTTGGAGAGAAGTTTCATCACAAATACGATGTAGGGCTGGGCAAGGTGGGGCATGCCTGTAATCACAGCACTCCTGAGGCTGAGGCAGGAGGATTGCTATGAGTTGAAGGCCACCCTGGGCTACACAGTGAGATTCTGTCAAAAGATAAAGGACTAAATTTTGTTTTTACTATTTAAGTCAGTGCAAATATGTATCAGCCATTGTGCCCCAAATTTTAAAAAGACATTCTCTTGGTCTAGAAAATTATCAGATCTTGATCAGCTATAAATTGTGCAAGACTGTGAAAGGCAGAAGAGAATCATAAATGAAGTGAGGTTACGTGCGAAGCATTTCTTCTTTGGAGCAGAAGACAAGCACAAATGAAGAGGCAGGAGTGCAGAGGTGGAGTGACGGCGGTCGGAGAGTCGGAGGCTTACCTCCCGGTCTACTGGAATGTGCCGATCCGTCATCTGCAGGGATTTGTGCTCTTGCATTAAAAGTTTTAAGAGAGTAGAAGAAGTTGAATTAGTGCCCTGGAATGAAGAGAATCAGCTTTAGATGGGCACAAGGTTGGGCTGGTTGCTTATGGCAATCTTGGGACATGACAAATAGCAGAGCTGTTAATATGAAATAAATACATAGTAAACAAATCAAAAAGAATAACAACTAATAAATTTAATGAACACAAGTAATAATTAATAGTTTGTTTTTATGACTGAATAGAATTTTTAAGCTCTTTGTAGTTATTTTTAATCATAAATGGTTGAGAAATAATTACCTTATAAAAATCTTCTTTTTTAGGGATTATCTTTTTATTACTTCCTTATATTATGGTTATTTTATTATTTTTCTGTTTTCACCTTTCCTCTTAAAAAGTTCCTTTAGTATAACATTTTCTAAATAGTACTGAGGATATTTATAATTCATAAAATTACAATTTTTGAATATTATTTTTGCACACTCTGAATATGTATTTGTTACATTTTATGTTGGCCAGTTGGGCCGTGGTAAGCCAGGGCGCTGCTGCCTGGCGGCTGGCTTGCAGGAGGGGCAGGCCTTCAGCCTCAGCTTTCATGTGCTTTGCTTACTGCCTGCGGAGCTCTTGAAATCTCACTTTTAAATTAAATGTACTTTCCACTTCTTTCCTGAGTCTCATTTCTGTTCTTGTTTTTGCCATGCTTGCAGTCATTTTCTTACTCTACCTCGCTCCAGATACAGTCGGAGCAATGGGCACCGCCACAGGTACACTGTGTGTCTGTGTGTATAACTGCATGTTCCTGTCTATTGGTGTGGAGTAGTTCACTTCCACGTCTGTGTTTTGTATAGCTTCATGTGGTCTTTAATGAAACGTAGAAACATTAAATTTATCAAAATGCTGAAACAAAATATATATAAACTCATTGTAATAGAATGCCAAAAAATCATCTTTTTCAATTTTTTAACCATTTTGTTCAGTGAGAATCACAGGTTTGTCTGTTGTCTGCAAGGGCAGTATGACTGTAGAGTGCTCTCATTGATCACATTCAGCTACTCACCTTCTTTGCCAGATAACAGTTCCTAAGCTGATACCGGTGTGGTTCATTTGTACACATGCTCTTAGCAACCTGCTTCCTACCTGTGTGCTCCAGACTAGCGGACACTGTCATTGCAGAGTTGAGGTCAAACTGATTTGTCCGCAGTTCTCTTGTCAAAGATGACTGTGATCTGCTCCTACGCCATAGCAGAGAGGTGTATCTGTGGAGAATACTGATCTGTAAGAAAGCCTTTGTTCATTTGTACCCAACTACTACCCCTGTTTCTACAGTGGGAATTTCCAGTGAGTCCGATATAGTCCAGCTCTAAAGTACTTTAGAAATGTAATCTATGTCAGAGGAAAATATCAATTCCCTGGCATCTAAGGGGGAAAGGAGGTAACTAAAAATTAAAAGGAAAGAAGTTTGACAAGGTTTGTACAATTCTGAAGACTTTAGGTAGGTTTAGATTTGAGCCGGTTCATTGGGAATATTTTGCAGCCCTTGAGACAAAGAAGAGAGTGACCGTGGTAATGTAGCAGTGGGTAAAGGGAGCAGGTGAGGAGGTACGTGCGGGATTAGTCACCCTGCCTACCATTCACAGGGATTTGGGCTATATGTCCTTATCCTGATTAATGTAAGTTAAGTAACAGTTGTAAATAGTTTTGTAAAAATAATGAAATCTAATGAGAAAATTCCAAGTGTTTGAATTCATGTTGGTAAATATGCAAAGAAACGTGAAAGATAAGAACCAAAGTAAATTCCTAATATTTCGAATTTTCTGATGTCTTAGTAGATGTAATGAAAATTTATTACCTTGTAATTTAGTTATATACTATTGGTTATTAGTATGTTTAATTTTCTTTTGCCTTGTCTCAGTCTGCCTTCTGTTATTTTGCTTTAATCCTAAATAATTCTTACATTTTGTTGTTTTGTCCTTTATTTTTGCTGTTGCTGAATAGTACATTCTGCTTTGTTTTTGGTTGTAATGACCATTTATATTACAAGACCTAAAAAGTAGTTGTATATTTGTTTCCTTATCTTGGCCAGAGCTTTCCCTAAGGTGAGTGGCATGCATGGACGGCACATTCCTGATTCCAGGCTTTTCTTGTTCACTCTGCTAGCTCTTACTTTCAATCTAAGCTAACACCATGTACCACATCTTTTATACTTTGTATTTTTCTTCATTTCAGTTACCTATAGTATATAGTTTGCTTCACCATGGCTTTGTGGTTTACTAGTGTCGATAGACTAGTTCTTAATCACCTTGCAAGGTTTTCCCAAGTTCTCAAGCAAAGCTTACCTGCCTTTTTTCAGGGAACATTTATGAATTAACTTTCTGTGCCATGATTTTGTTGGTGGTTGGGAAACACAAGATCATTGTGTTTATATTAAAATACAACAGAGGAAAATTTGTTTTAGAAAATGTTATCTTGTCTGAAGATTTCTGTGTATATGTGCATGTCTATTTTATATGCAGTAAGGTGTTGCCTTGGTCTCGGGCAGTAGAAACTCATTAGGGCTTGAACTAAATATAGTGTACACCTACCCATAGATAATTTGGGTGGATTTTATAAAAGGGAAGTTTCTTAATTGCAGTATTTAAAAAATATTGCCTTTTCTCATTACTTTTTGCAGTCATACTATTTTTCTTTTTGAGATGGAGTCTCACTATGCAGTTCAGGCTGACCTTGAACTCACTACATAACCCAGATTGGCCTCAAACTCACAGCAATCCTCCTGCCTCAGCCTCCCAAGAGCTGGGAACAGGTGTATGCCACATTGCTTGGCCCCCATCATGTTGTTTTATACATACAAAAGAATGTGTGTAAGTTTCAAGTCATAGTAATGAATTAAGATCATGACTTTTTTTTTTTTAAATTTTTATTTTGGTACTGGGAATCGAAGTCACAACCTCATGCTTGCCAGGCAGAGGCTGTGCTGCTGAGCTAATTCCCGGCCCCCATAGTAATGAATTAAATGCCCATGAATCTGCTACCCAAACTGAGGACTAGAACATCTGGTTTATGCCCTTAATTACCTATATCATCCTTGCCTATGAAGACTTCTATAGAAGTAATACATGTATTCTTCTATAGAAGTAATATATGTAAACTGGATTTTCCAGCTTAATGTTTTTCTCCTTTGCTTTTCTTAAAGCTACTTTAAACATTTATTTTTGACTTACTCACTTTCCTAAGTATCCATCTCTCCAACCTCAGTCCCAATCTACTGTGAGACTGTTGGACTTTTTCTTAAGCATCTGTTGAAGACATAAAAATCATATACAGTCACCCATCATCCTCCTGCGTTCATCTCTAGAGCGTCCCGTTCTTATTATCCTTGCTTCCCGTTACTTTTTACGTAATACAGCGAAGTGCGTGTCTTGGTCTCTTGTTGATGCTGTTTCATCCACTGGCGAGTTTTGCACCTGACTCTAGGCTGCGTCACATTTCCTGCCATTACCCTGAGTAATGGATGCATTCTCCTGAAAGAATTACTCAGCAACTACTCATTCTCTTAACTGCCTCAAATACAGTGAGTGCTGCCCCAGTTCTGTTTCCGTCAGTAGCTCCTGGGTCCTTATTTTGAATTTTGCCATTACTTTTGGTATCTTAATTCAAATATTCCTCTGCTCTTGGATTCCAGAACTGCACATGACTTTCTTATTCTTTCATGGAGTTATTTCTATTACATTTATTCTTGTATCAGTAGCGAACTCTGTTCTCTTCACCTCTTATCATCCCTTTATTAATCACCCCCTCTTTACCTACCTTCTTTACCTGCCTTCTTTATCCAGAAGTTGAATTCATTCCCAGAAATGTCCTCAGTGCTTTCAGTAAATTGTTCTTACTTGAAAAATTCAACTGTGCATCAATCTTTCTCTTGCAGAATAACTTTTGAACTAAAATAGCCAAATTCTTCCTTACTCACCAATTTGAGTCAAAGTAACTGATCACTTAAAAGAAAAACTGATTTTTTTTATTGAGGAGTTTGAGTAAAGAAAATGGCTTTGATCTCTCAGGATATGGTTTTCCTGCCTAGGTTCTGAGGTCACATAGGTTCTCATGGGGAAAGCCTCCTTCTGGGAGCCCTGGTGTGGCTGTGTAATACTTGGAAACTTCTAAGTGGAATGAGTGTGGTAAACTCAATTTGACCTTCTCAGTTCCTGAGCAGTACATCAGGAGAAGTTAGGTTTCCATTGGTCTCTATATTTGAAGGTTAGAACATGAAGCATTATGAGTCTAGATCTTTAGAACAGAATGATTGAGACATAAATAGTGCTAAGTTTTTTTCTATTACTTCAAGCGACAAAATTAAGCATCAGAACCAAAACTTTTTCTTACCTTCTCACCAGATTTCTTCAACCAGTATGAAATTATCTTTGATTCATTGTATATTCATTATAAAACAAAATCAACATCTAAACGAACATGTTTATAATGGATATCATGCTATACCCATTGTTAATACTCTTAAAAATACACTTTTCATTTTGATAAATGTGCCTTCATATTTAAAATATGGTCTTGTGGGCTACTTGTTTTCCAGGTATGTACCTCTATTTACAGCTGTGCACACCTTTTAAAGTAAGGAGTGACATTTACTGCCACTGGGGCGTGGAGGGGAAGTGGTAGGTTGGGATATGACAAATTTCCAGCCTTTGGCCTAAGAGCTCTGTGTGCCTGCACTTTGTAACCAGAGCAGAAGAGGCTCGGGGAAGATAAGCTGAGAACAGGAACAGAGGGCGTGGGAGAGGAGCCTTGGCACACGAGGGCAGGTTAGGCTCGACCTGGCCGGCTCTGTGCACAGACGAAGCTGCTGTTTCCCACTGACCCAGGAAGAAGACAGACTGAGGATGGAGCTAGTGGAATCTAGGGAGCAAAAACACGTGGCTGTGAGCTAGTGTTAAGCTTCTGGCGGAGTCTGGGTGTGCAGTCTTGGTTAGAAGAGAGCTGAGCTCTGCCTGTCGGTGGTTGAGATGGTCAGTCAGAAAGTCCTCGTTGGGTAAAGAACAAAGAAAGGAAAAGAGGGTGACAACAATTAGTGTGACCAGGGAACAGCAAGTGTCAGCTGTGGTAAATGAGCTGGGCGCAGGCTGTGACTCCTGTGTAGATGTCTCCTCAGAGCCTCAGGAGCTTACAGGCGGGGCTGTATGTGGTGCCAAGGTTAAGGGTGTGTGATACTGAGTCAGTCCACTGTCTGGTATAGCACAGTTCTGAGAGTGGATGATGGGAAGGCCACGCTGGCGTGGGTGGTACCCACCGAGGGTCCTGTAGCTTGGATAGAGCTGGAGGGACAGAGTGCGCTGGTCACTGCTGCTGCCTTCCACACCTGGTGGGAGCTGTTTTTCCCTCTGTGATGCCTGTGCCCTGTCAGTCTGCCTTGGAGCCAGATGATTATGAACTGATGCAAATTGTGAGCCAGGACACACTATCCCCGGAGCCCAGCCTATTTGGGACTCCTACACCATCTGGGTGCAGAGGAAGGGCTGAGCGGATCTGGGGCGCCTGCATCCGCCTCCCTCTGTGTCTGGAGGACTGTGGATATCTCAGCAAGCAGGCGAGCATCTCCAGTTCCAGAGACCCTGCGGCCTGCGGTGAGTGCTCAGTGCACTCTGCCCCAAGCCCAGACTGTTCGGGACCCTCCAGGCTTCCAGGTGCAGTGAAGTGGATAAGTGGGTTTGAGGCATCTATCTGCCTTCCCATTCCAGCTGCGCTGGGAGAACTG